AATCCAGTATCTCTTTGCTAGCTCAGAACCTTGTTACAGATGAACAACCTTTTCACTTCAGAATCAGTGAACTTTCGAGTCTGTGAACATGCCTTTCTTGAATTGTGGGGAGAAGACGTCTTATATCAGATGCTCATTCATGGAATACAGTGAGTCCTATTTCAGAACATTTGCTCTGATTGTTCCTTCTATGATAAGGGCACATGGAATGTAGTGAATATGCTAGAAACATGCAACATGAGCAATGTAGGTAATTGTGAAACAAATTATTTCCTATAGTACTGCATGGAATGGATTTGCTACCAGGTTTGGATTCAGCCAGCATCAAGTCTCTGTGCAGCCACATAACAGAGTATGGCTGTAACAGAGTGCTAGCTTAGTGGCATATATGTGTCCATAGCAAGAAACTTATGGTTGATGAATCCCATTACAGCTGCATTGCTGACTATGATATATGGGATGTGGTTGCATATCTCAAGTACAAAATGGTTGCTACATTGCAAGTTGTGATAGGTTAGTGTCCAAAATTGTCCTCTACAGAAGCAATACAGAAACGTTTAAGCAGAGAGGTATTACCTGAAAGAAGTGCATCCCCAAAAGAGTGTAATAACCATGTGCTTTTAGAGAAGTTGACTCTATTCGGGTTAATTACTTCTTGCCTAACAACTTTGTTTTGCATGGTGAATTATTGAATACTTATAGTCCAGTATTCCTTGCTAGCTCAGAACCTTATTCTGGTCCAGACAACCTTTTCACTTCAGAAACAGTGAATTAGTGATTTCCCCGAGTATGTCATGGAATGAATTAGCTACTGGTTTTGTGTTCAGCTGACATCAGACCTCTCTACGACCACACAGTGTTCATGGCCGTAGCAGAGTGCTCACATAGTGGTACATAGGCATGCATAGCCAGAAACGTATGGTTGATGAATCCCATTACAGTCACCTTGCCACCTCTGATAAAGGGAAATAGGCTCCATATCTCAAGTACATATTGAGAGTTTCAAAATTCAGTGTTTGATTTGCCCTACACGGGAGCAATATAAAAATATTTAAGCAGGGAATGTGTGTTACCTGAAAAGAGCCAAGCACCAAATAAGTGTAGTAACCATGTGCCTTTAGAGCAGTGAGCTCCATTCAGGAAGTTACTTCTTACAAAAAACTTCATTTTGCACGATGGATGGTTGAGTACTTACAGTCCAGTTATTGACTGCCTATTCAGAACCTTATTCTGGTCTGGAGAACTTTTTCATTTCAGATGTAGTATTATTTTATTTGTGAGATCCTACTTGTCCCAAATTGTAAGGAGAAGACACATTGTTCCAGAAGCACATTCAAGGAATATAGTGAATCCTACATTCAGAACCTTTGCTCTGATTATTCCGTGTGTGATGCCAGTACTCAGAACACACTGAATATGTTAGAAACACACAGAGCGAACAGTGAAGGTAATTTTGAAACAAAATATTTGCCAGACCACTGTCATGGAAAGGATTAGCTACTGAGTTTGGATTCAGCTGATATCAGGTCTCTTTGTGCCCACACAGTGAGTATGGCCACAACAGAGTGCTGGCATAGTGTCCATAGCCAGAACACCATTTTTTGGTGAATCACATTACAATTGACTTGCCATCTATAATATACAGTAATGGGTTTGCATATGTCAACAAGTTTGCTATATTGCAAGTTGTGAAATCACTGTTCAAATTTGTCCTACATGGAGCAGTACAGAAATGTTTAAGTAGGAGATGAGCATTACCCAAAAGCAATGCATCCCCAAAAGAGTGTAGTAACCCTGTGCCTTTAAAGCAATGGACTCCATTCTGGATAATTACTTCTCACCCTACAACTTTGTTGCACATTTTGAGTTGTTGAGTAGTTACAGTCCAATATTCGCTGGGGACAAGCTCCAGCCAGTTCAGGGTCCCCAAGGTGTGAGAGGTATCGGTGTTCAAAGAAATAAAAAACACACTCACAGCAAGGCTGATGACATAGCTCTGGCTCTCGAGCACCAGACTTTACTTTTATATCATAAGTCAAATATTGATTCTTTTTTCTCACAGTAACAAGTCTGTTGTCCATTTTTTTCTAATCACAATTTCTTTGATTTTCAAGGATATTCAGAGCATGGGTTACAATCACAGACAGGTGCGAGATAACAGGCTGCCCACACAAGCCAAGGCCTGGAGTGCTGTAGAACTATGCAGAAATTGGCTACACAAGCTAGAATAGTACCTTACTAATCTAACCTTACTAGAAGCCCCAAATTCAAAGCATGCCCTTTTAAAAATATATCCCCTTTTTGTAGTTCTTTCTGTAATTATTTAATTTTTTATTGTACTTATTTAAATGTTCACCTAGATCTGCTCTACAGTTTTGACATCCTAACCATTATAGTATTTGTTGAATTAAAGCTTTAAAACATTTATCTTTATTGTAGTGAGAAGTATATACCAAGGAGCCTGTTTCTTTTTAATTCTTTTCCACAAACAGCTCAACCTTGCATAAAGCATTAAACCCTTTCTCTTACACTAACATTCTGCTTGATTAAAATTCTACACAGCAATGGACATTTTGGCTGCACATAGACCTGAATCCAAACCTGGTAAAACATCCATTCCATAATAGTACTCTGGAAAATCACTTGTTTCACAACTATCTACATTGCTCTTTTTGTGTATTTCTAGCGATTTGATATGTTCTTTGTGCTGGTATCATATGACCAACAATCAGAGCAAATGTTCTGAATGTGGTACTTTGTTTCTTATGGCAAATTGTTGAGTTGTTACTACAGTCCAGTATTAATTGCCATTTCTGAACCTTACTCTGGGCTGGATAACCTTTTCACTTGGGAAATAGCATGTTTCTGACCCTGCAAAGGTGCCTTGCTTGAACTGTGGGATGAAAATGTGCAATGCCCGAAGCATATTCAAGGAATACAGTAACTCCTACCAGAACGTTTGTTCTGATCCTCGTATGATAAGAGCACACAGAAAGTATTGAATATGCCAGAAACACACAACAAAAGGTAGTTGTTAAATAAGTTATTCCCCAGAGTACTGTCATGGAGTGGATTTGCTACCGGGTTTGGATTCAGCCAACGTCAGGTCTCTGTGTGGCCACACATGGTGTTTGTCAGTAATGGAGTGCTATGTAGTGGTGTATATGTATCCATAGCCAGAAACGTATGGATGGTGAATGCCATTACTGCTGCATTGCATCATTGCATACATGAGAAGAGGTTGCATATCTCAAGTACAAAATGTTTGCTATATTGCAAATTGTGATAGGTCAGTGTCCAAAATTGTCGTCCACAGAAACAATATAGAAACATTTAAGCAGAGAGGTTGAGTGTCACCTGAAAGGTACACATCTGCCAAAGAGTGTAGTAACTAGCTGCCTTAGAGCAGTGGCATGACTGCCTTCAGGTTGATTACTTTTTGCCCAATAATTGTGTTTAGTATGGTGAATTATTGAGTAGTTGAGAGTCCAGTATTGATTGCTAGCTCAGAACCTTATTCTGGTCAGGACAACTTTTTGCTTTGGAGGTAGTGTTTTTCTGAGTCTGCGAACGTGTCTTTCTTGAATTGGGAGTAGAAGACGTGTTATGCCAGAAGCACATTCAAGGAATAAGTGAGTCCTACATTCAGAACATTTGTTCTGATTCTTCCTCTTGTGCTACCAATACATGGAATGTATGCTATAGGCTAGAAACACAACAAGGGAATGTAGGTAATTGAGAATCAAGTGATTCCCCAGAGTATTTTCATAGAATAAATTAATACCGTGTTTGGTTTCGGCCGATATCAGGTCTTTGTGTGACCACACAGGGTGAATGGCCATAACAGAGTGTCCATAGCCAGAAACATATGGTTGGTGAATCCCATTATAAATGCATTGCCATCAATGATAAATGGGCATGGGTTTCTTAACTCAAGTAGAACAGGTTTGTTTTATCAACAGAAACACATTTCAAATAGTAACTTAAGATAGAAAAAAAACTCCCCACAGGTGAGGCTTTATTCTCTGAAAAATATAAAGAACACCCATACTTCTGACATGTCCAAAAGTAAAATTTAAGCCTTTTTTAGTAGAGAATACTTGACTTATATTGAAAATAGGTTTGCCTTTGGTTTTAATTTTTAAATAATCAGGATGCTAGAGCAACTTTTCATTGGCTGGTTTTGGCTAGTACAAACTGCACAAAATCAGTTCTGCTTCAACTAACTGAGCTTCCCTGATCAAGACAAAACACTACTTTTTTTGGTTATTTTGTGGCATATTTTATTTTGGATTTTTAAAAAAATGCTTGTCTGTTCCTCTATTGGCTTAGAACCTGAAATAAGAATGCATGAATTTGGATTTCAGGTCTTTTTTTCTTTTTAAATTTAAGGCACCAGTGTATCCCAATGTGCTTTCCTCTTTTTCTTTGTTTTGTTTGGCTTTGTGCTGTCTCCATTATTCTTTTGGCTATGCTCAGTCCCCTCACAGATTTTTTCAGTTTTTAAAATTTCTTTATTTGTATTTTTTTCATCAAAAACAGCACATTTCGGCCGGCGCCGCGGCTCACTAGGCTAATCCTCCGCCTAGTGGCGCCGGCACACCGGGTTCTAGTCCCGGTCGGGGCGCCGGATTCTGTCCCGGTTGCCCCTCTTCCAGGCCAGCTCTCTGCTGTGGCCAGGGAGTGCAGTGGAGGATGGCCCAGGTGCTTGGGCCCTGCACCCCATGGGAGACCAGGAAAAGCACCTGGCTCCTGGCTCCTGCCATCGGATCAGCGCGGTGTGCCAGCTGCAGCGCGCCGGCCGCGGCGGCCATTGGAGGGTGAACCAACGGCAAAGGAAGACCTTTCTCTCTGTCTCTCTCTCTCACTGTCCACTCTGCCTGTCCAATAATAAAAAAAAAAAAAAAAAAAAAAGAAAACAGCACATTTCACATAGTATAACTTAACACAGAAAAGCTCCCCACATTAGAGATTTTATTCTCCAAAAAATGAAATAAAATCTACCCTTCTGATACATGTATTTGTGAAAAGTAAAATTTAAGCCTTTTTTTGTACAGAAGGTATTAATGTTTATTGGAAATGGCTTTACTTCTGGTTTTCCTTTTAAAAAACTCAGGTATGCTGGAATAACTTTTCATTGGCCAGTTTTGGCTGGTTTAAACTTGGAAAAACCAGTTGTGTTCCTACTAAAAGAGCTTCCCTAAACCAGGACACATTAATTTCTTTTTTTTAAGTTTTGTGTGGTAAATTTATTTTATTTTTATTTTTTTTTTTAATGTTTGTCTGTTACTTTCTCTTCTCCCACATGTCGCCATTTGCATTTATTTTTTGGCTTCACGTTGTCTCTCTTATTTCTGTCCTATGCCCAGTTTCCTCAAGGATTTTCATTTTTTAAATGAATTAATTTTATTTTCCTTACATCAAAAACACCATATGTCACATAGTATAACTTAACATAGAAAAAATACCCCACATTGGAGATTTTATACTCAAAAAAAGTGCAATGAACACTGACACTTCTGATACATGTGTTAGTGAAGAGTAAAACGTAAGCCTTTTTTTTATTACAGAAGATACTCAGCTATATTGAAAATAAGTTTGCCTCTGGTTTGCTTTTTACAATAATCAGGAATGCTAGAGCAACTTTTCATTTGCTGATTTTGGGTGGTACTAACTGGAAAAAATACAGTTCTGTTCTAACTAGTCAAGCTTCCCTAACCAGGACACTTCATTTTTTCATGTTTTTAAAATTTTTGTGTGGTAAATTTATTTTGGATATGCTTTTAATATTTGTCATTTCTTGGCTTAGAGCCTGAAATATGAATTCATTAATTTGGATATCCAGTCTTTTTTTTTTCTTTTTAAATTCATGATTCCTTCATGTCACCATTTGCATTCCTCAATTTCTTTCTTTCTTTCTTTCTTTCTTTCTTTCTTTCTTTCTTTCTTTCTTTCTTTCTTTCTTTCTTTCTTTCTTTCTTTCTTTCTTTCTTTTTTTGGCTTTGCGCTGTCTCCCTTACTCTTTATTGAAAATGGATCTTCCTTTGCCTTCTGCTTTGAAATATTCAGGAATGCTAGAGAAATTTTTCATTGGCTGGTTTCACTGGTACAGACTGGAAAACACCAGTTCTGTTGCTACTAACTGAAATTCCCAGATCAGGACACAATTTATTGCTTTTTAAAATGTTTGTGTGGTATATTTTATTTTAGATTTTTTTAATGGTGAAGCATAATTTATTTTGTAAAGATACACTTATTAGAAATGGGGAAAAGAGTACATCTGAGTATTAAGGTTACTTAATGACTGTAGTGTCATCAGGACCTATTGCTTCCCTGTGATTAGACTCACATGACCAGTGATGTTTGACTTCCCATTGCATCATGCCAAACACATTTCAATGTTTACCGTTCCTTCTGGTACTAGGTATACATAATTAAGATGCCAAATTTCAACTTTAATCTGTAAGCTCTAACTTGTTAACATACAGAAATTTATATGGAACATTTTTTGGTAAATTAACGCCACTGTAATAAATTGGAATTTAAAAATGTCCCTTTATCCCTCCTCAGGAGATGTGTCACATCCACCGTTGATTCCTGTCAAGGAGTTCGCTGTTTTTCTTTTTTACAGACCCTTTTGCCTCTACCAATGATATCTTGCTAAACCTGTCTTCAGCTCAGTTACTTTAGAATCTGCTCATGGAGTCTTACATTCCTTTCTGGAACCAAGGAAAATTTGAAGTTCTGGCTCCAGATTTCTATTGTTCCTATTATATTTCACATGTTGTTCACACCACACATAGCTGTGGGCCCAGACCTATCTGCATGGTTGTGACTTTAGCATTCAGATGGGGAATGAATGCAGATCTTCTCTGGGCTCCCCCACAGCAGCTCAATCATTGTACCCTATCCTCCCTCTGCCATGGAATTCATCTGGGGCAAAAGTAATCGAATCCAATTATTTGGGGGTGGGCATTGTAGCATAGCAGGTGAAGCTGCTGCATGTGACGCCAGCATCCCACATGGGCACTGGCTAGAGTCTCGGATGCTTCACTCCTGTCCCACCCCCCCGCCAATGGCCTGGAAAAGCAGCAGAAGGTAGCCCAAGTGCCTGAGCTGCTGCAATCACGAGACCCACAGAGGCTCCTAACTTCTGGTTTTATTTATTTATTTGAAGACAGAGTTACGGGGAGAGGGGGGCGGCGGAGAGAGACCTTCCATCCTCTGGTTCACTTTCCAGATGGCTAAAACAGCCAGAGCTGGGGCGTCCTGAAGCCAGGAACCAGGAGTTTCTTCTGGGTCTCCTACATGGGTGCAGGAGCCCAAGTACTTGAGCCATCATCCACTGTTTTCCCAGGTTCATTGTCAGGGAGCTGGATCAGAAGTGGAGCAGCCAGGACCTGAACCAATGCCCATATGCGACACTGGTGCTGTTAAGCAGCAGCTTTACCAGCTATGCCACAGTGCTGGCCCCAAACAATAAATAAATCCTTTTTAAAAAATAGATTTAATTATTTGTCTCTCTTCCTTCTGAAAGTATTCTGGGAGCACAGGAGGGAGAGGAGGAGTGGGGTCTGGAGAAAGAACACATCACATTAACAGAATCAAGCAGCAGGGAACATTAGTAAATGACCTTGGGTATAACCAGACAACATAGCAGAACACGAGCTTTCTCCCCAAATGATGCATAATCCCTCAGAGAGCAAAGAAACTCGTTAGTCATGTTAACATGTATGAAATAATTCTGAATGCCAGGACGCGCAGTGGCCATTGTTTACTGTCATCATACCTGACACATAGTAGGAAGTTGGCAGGTGAAAGCTAGAAAGAGATCTCTGTCCTGATCCTGACTCGGTTCTTTCGGCTCTTCTGTCACCACTTGGCCCCTGTCTGTTCTAGGCACTATTGCTCACACAAAGAGAGGGTGAAAGGGCTGAAGGGGATAAACAATCCTGTGAAACAAAACAGAATCTACAAGCTGAATTTAGTTTTCTAATGGAAAGCAGTTGAGTAATGCTGCACGCTAACCCAGACAATATGACGCATGATCTCAGTAGGCAGAATTACGAAGAGGCAACAGGTTGAGCTCAAGAGCCTATATGCTCTCGTGGACTATTTGCTGAATGGACAGGAAACCACTGCTTCAGCTATGAACTTCCTTTGCTGGTGACAGAGAAAAGAACCACATGATGGGAGACCCCACAGGCCTGTTTGGAGTACACAAACACAAACGGACAGTCTTGTCTTCCCATGATAGCAGGAAGTGCAGGATGATCTCCGGGTGCTTGATGCTCACAACCATCACAATGGACTCAGAGATGCCCTTGTTGAGGGTGTTGGTGGCCCAAGAGGTACCTTTGCAAAGTTGCTTGTAGTGACGTTCTTGATGAGGTAGGTCTGTGAGGGGATGGGCCTTGAATTTACATCATCAGTCATGGCTATGGTTCCGCAGGCTCCCTACTCCTCAAGAACTTAGATGATGTCAAAGAAGGAAGCAGAAGCTGTAAATGTCCTTTAAATCCTGATATTCTAGTCCCATTGAAGGCTTTTTGATAAGATTTTATTCCTGTGGACACACTCGGGGCACAGCATATTGTCCTCCAGGTATGGGGGTGGGAAATTACTTGCAGGAAGCAAGAAGAGTGCACTCACTCTTCCTTTTTTCTTCTCAGGAACCCAGGCTTGTCCTGCATGAAACTGCAGCTGAACCCAACCATGTGTGTTTGCAGGGAGACTTTTCCCATGGACCACACACCATCTGTCACCGGAGGCCTCTGGGGGTGTTTCCACTGCCTTCCTCTTCCCAGCACCAGCGACAATTCTGGCCCAAGAGGCTAGCACAGCCTCTGGGGCAGAAGTTGTCACCTCAACTGTATTCACGTCCTCCAGGAGCACAGGTACACCCTCCTGGAGTGGAGGAGCCACTTCAGGGGGGTCGGTCCCCGCGGAACACATTGTTTTCTTAGCACTTTCCTGGGATGTTTCCTCTTTGCCCACCTTTGATTTTATTTGTAAGGATGTTTTGATCTTGACCTCCTTTGCTGTGCTGGGAATAGCCTGTAAACAAGGCTTCTGGTGTGGGTAAGCATATTCACATAGTCGCTTATACAGATCTATTTTCGGGCCTTTAGTGCTTAACCTCAGCTTTTGACCCCAGGCCCGCAAAATGTCTCTGTGAACCAGGTCGATGGGTGGCAGATCTACAGGTAACGGAGGAATTGGTACCTTCTTCCGAGGTTTTGGGTTGCCATCACACTGTCCCCTTTCCTTAGGACAGGCAACTTTATCATCTTTCATAGATCTTTTTCGTTTGTTCCCCTCCTTTTCTGATGTTCTTGGTAAAGATGTGCTTGGTTGAGTTAAGGCCCACTCTTCTTCTTCCCTCGACCATCCTGTGGCGGTTCTCTCCTTGCCTCTAGAATTCTCCATACTTGGAAGACAAATGAAGTTGATAAAAAGAAAGGTCTTTTCACTTCCACGATGGTCCCTAGCCTAAGAGTGCTCTTCAGAGAGTCTCCGCCCACTTCCTGTTACCAAAGGTGCTCTTCTTTCTCCCTTCTATTTTAGATTTTTAAAAATGTTTGTTCCTCTCTTGGCTTAGAACCTGAAAAAGGAATTCATGAAATTGGATGTCTCACTGTTTTTCTTTTAAATTCAACACTCCTGCATGTCATCATTTGCATTCCTCAATTTCTTTACTTTTTGGCTTTATACTGTCTGCTTTATTCTTTTGTCCATGCACAGCCCCCTTCCAGATTCTCATTTTTAAAATTTATTTATTTATCTTTCTTTCATCAACAAAAACATATTCCATATAATATAAATTAAGATAGAGAAAACTGCCAACCTCTGGGATTTTATTCTCTGAAAATTACAAAGAACACCTACACTTCTGATGCACGATTTTAGGAAATCGTGATTTTAGGAAAATGTAAGCCTTTTTTAGTACAGAGCTTAATAACCTTTTTGAAAATGAGTTTGCATTTGGTTTTCTTCTTAAAATATCTGAAATGCTAGTGCAAGTTCTCATTGTCTGATTTTGGTTGGTACAAAGTGATAAAAAAGCAGTTCTTTTCCTCCTAACTTCCCTGACCAGGACACATTTTATTTCATTTTTTAATTGTAAGGTGTTTAATTTGATATTTTTAAATGTTTGTCTGTTACTTTTTTGGCTAAGAATGTGAAATAAGAATTCCTGAGTTTGGATATCCTTTTTTTTTTTTTTTTCCATTTTGGACACATGACTCCTGCA